GGATGAATCGGCGGAAAGATTGAGATGAAATAAACGACAGGGTAAGAACGGTCTGTCTACTGAACAAATGGGTTGGGAGGAAACCTTTATCCTATTGAACATCAATAAAGAGATAACTGCAGAAGATGGCGACACACAACACTACTTCCGCCCAAAAAAAAAAACATATGCACCTACTTTCCATTGTTGCCTACTATCTTCTTACCTCTAATTTTTTCGCTCGTCATATCTTCTTGAAGAAATTCCTCAAAACAAGGTTGATGGCGACTTCCTTGCAAGTTTGCAGGTAGCATGTATTTTTAATTTTCCCCCTAGATTTGTTAACTGAAATCCTAATTTAACCTCATTAAGTCTTGTCTTACCGTTACCTCCCATATCGCTACAGTCCCTAATCCACCATTGTTATATAATATATTTTAATTTTATATCTGGCTTTCTATGCCTTTTGTCTGTTTTTGTAGGCAATTTACGGAGGTGGGAACTGGGAGCCAGAGGACGCTAGAAGGCGGTTTGGCACATGCGATGCAAGTGGGCTGTGAGACCATTATGGCAACTTTGTAATATACAAAACATTCTGAGGGCATTTTCGAGCTTTTGGACAGATGTCATGTCCAAGCCCTTCTCAGGTTTCAACCGGGCTTTTATAGTCTTCAATAGTTTTGACTAGCATACGCCAAGAGTACACATGCCGTATTGTATGCCCGTTCATTTTTGTAATTTAGGTATTAAATTAGTTGAATTTTGAGACATGATACTATAGTCTAACCTCTAATGGGTAAATACCAGTTCTCAATTATCTAACCCAAATCATAAGATTCATTTTATCTCAAAATGGAAACCAATGGTTCCGATTCGTCAGAATTATCAAATTACAAATAATAGGTGTGAACGGGAAAAAATCCCAGAATACACCAATTATTAAAAAAAATTACCAAAATACAGTACTTATAAAAGTATTTCCTAAAGTACAGCAGTTTCAACATCACTGTCTTTGTCTAAGACAGTGATGTTGATCACCGTTTTGGTCTAAAACGATGATGCATCACCGCTTTTGACAAAAGCAGTGATGTTATCACCGCTTTAAACAAAAGCAGTGATGCCATCACCGCTGTCAAGGACGACAGTGATGGCAAGACCGTTGATGTGGGAGGCAGTGAAGCCTTCACCGTTGGATCCAACAGCGGTGAAGTGGCGCGGATCGCTGACGTGGACGCGAGCGGGCACTTCACCGCTGAAGACCAAAGCGGTGATTGCCCCGCTTTCCACGTCAGCGATCCACGCCCCACCCCGCGCCTTCACCGCTGCCGTCGGATGCAGTTATGCGCGGATTGTGGTTTTTCTCCACAATCCGACGCATCAGGAGAGGCCACGTCAGCGATCCTTGACCATCACCGCCTTTGTTGGACGCGGTGATGGCGCTGTGTTTGTTTGGGGCGGTGATAACTGGCCAGGTCTTTCCCAGCCCCAAACACTATAAATACCCATCCCCCCCTCATTCCAAACCACACCACCACTTTATACTTCTTTCTCCCTCCATTTTTCACTCTAGTTTCGTTCTAAGTATGCTCTGTGGTTGCGGCTAAGTCCGATCTTCCGCATCAGAAAGAATTACTAGAGTTTTTGTTTTGTTGTTTTGTCGATACTCTCGCTAGCTTTTCGGCAAAAAATGGACGAAGAGGCTTTGAGAGTACGTAAATTTATTTAATTCTTTTGTGCTTTTTTTTACATGGGTGCTAAAATTAAATTGATTTGATTTCATATTTTTTTATAGATGGGTGCTGAGATATACGACCCTAGATTGTATATCGATCCTGGCCCAAGGGATCGAAGGTATTTAACCGGGCAAGATCAACATCGCTCTCGTTCAATTTGGAACAATAATCCGGTAAACACACTAAAATTATTTCAATAGTTTTAAAGTTTTTATTTTGCTTTCTAAGTTTTTATTTTGCTTTCTATTGACTGACAATATTGTGTTTTTTGTTTTGTAGGAATCACTTATTCCCATCAGTCATCGAGGTACATGTCGATTGCCCCCTTGGCATCCTCGACTGCATCCCTATCTAGAGAGGGCGGGATTGCACAATTTGAGGCACTTTATGAGGCTAGATATTGACAACGATCTGCTGACGGCAATGGCAGAGCGATGGCGCCCTGAGCTGCATACCTTCCACTTTCCTGAGGGTGAAATGACGATCACCCTCAAAGATGTTGCCATCCTCACCGGGCTCCCGATCACCGGAGATGCCATCATCGACAGCTCGAGAAAACCAGAAGATGGTTGGGGGCCATTGATTCAGGAACGTCTGGGGTTCAACATGCCGACCACCACGCCCGTCGAAGGTCAGGGGCATCCACCACTGAATGCGGGACAAGTATCGATCCCGTGGCTTGTTGACCACATCCAGATGGAGGTTAATATAGGCCCGGATACTCCTGAAGATCAGGTGGAGCGGTATGCACGTGTCTACCTAATTGCCTTGGTTGGTGGGTTTCTGTTCCCCGACAAGTCAAACCGGTGGATACAAGGCATGTGGTTAAATATGCTCCTCGGTGACTGGGACGAGATCGGGCAAAAAAGCTGGGGGTCGGCCGTCTTGGCTGGGATCTACCGCGAGTTGTGTACTTGCTCGAAGTTGGGAGCGAAACAAGCTGGTGGTGCGATGTTCATACTCCAGCTCTGGGCAGGGAGCATCTTCCGTTTCTCGCACCTCGAGACCCTCGGGAATTCTGGTTGCCAGATGATGAGCTACGATTTGTAGCAAATCCCCCATATGGTTTCAAGTAAGTTCAATTTTGCTTTGAATTTATTTTAGATATGCAATGGTAGCTAGTTAGGTGAATTTAGATTTTAGTGAACTTAACTTAGTATGCAATTTTAAGTATGCAATTATAGTATTTTAGTGAACTTAGCTATCTTCCAACTAAGCGGATTTAGAGACATTTTAGGTCTGCAATTCTAGTATTTTAGTGAATTTAGATATCTTCCAAGTAAGTGAATTTGGATTTATTCTAACCAAATCGCATTTAGCTAATTTTAAAATTGCTTATATATGTACTTTTGCAAAATTAGGTGGATCGGAGCAAATACAAACGACCACCAGCCCGAGCACTCTTTACTGTTTTATCGTGCTGAATTTGATAAGCCTTGGTGGAACCAGGTAAAAATATTGAATGTCATGATTTTCAATTTATTAGGTAGAGTGGATATAATTTTAACTAATTCCATGAATTTTAATGATTGTAGGCGGTATGGGATCCATATCCAAATGAAGTGGTTGAGTTGCATCGTCTTAGACATCCCGAGGATCAAGAGACATGGTTGTGCAAGGTGCCCTTAATCTGCTGGCACATGGTGGAGTGGCACCTGCCCGATCGATCTTTGAGGCAATATCGATTGGAGCAACCAATTCCAGCATCCCCACCTCAAGGGTTCAGGGAGCTCCACGCCATTGACCTACGCTACAACAAAAAGGATTGGACCCGCAAGCATGAATTCTACATCAACATATGGGAGAATAGAAATCAGTGGGTGGTCCAAGGGGCGCCGGAGACAAGGCCAATGGGGTACCACGATGGCTACATGCGGTGGTATCGGAACTTCACGCTAAGATGGGTGTCAAAGCAAGGTGCTGTTTGGGGCGCAGTGGTAAGTGAATTCCATTTTGGCCTATTTTAGTTAATTTTTGTAGTATGATTACATGCCTATATTAGCTAGAATGTTAATTATCTATATTAGATTTAATGTTAGTTAATTTTTGGAGTATGATTACATGCCTATATTAGCTAGAATGTTAATTATCTATATTAGATTTAATGTTAGTTAATTTTTGGAGTATGATTACATGCCTATATTAGCTAGAATGTTAATTAACATTATTAGTTTTAATGAATGTTAATTTTTGTAGTATGATTACATGCCTATATTAGATGATAGAAATCATTATTAGATTTACTATTAGTTAATTTTGTACAACAATTTATTAGGTTGACGGTTTGGAGCATGCGAAGCACACCGTCGAGAGTGCATCCACCATGGATGAGCGGAAGACATCTTTTTTGCGCAGGCTTTTCAACAACTTGCTCTGTTGTACCAGAGAGCAAAGGAGGGATGTCATATTATACCCTCCAGTGCCTGCTCCGGCCCGACCTTCATTCCGTGCTGATGAGAGGATTGTGCCCCCACAAGAGCCCCCACGGAGGAGCAGAAGAAGGGTGAGAGAACACATTGAAGAGCTTCGTCCGTCTCAGCAAACTCAACTTCCTCAACCATGGCCACATTGTGAGTGGGCTACTAGTACTGAGGGAACCGGAGGGTCGTCAAGCTATGCCCCGACTCAGGAGCATGACATGTTCACCCAAGCCACCCCTCAGTTCCACCATCAGCAACAAACTACTCAGTATCACCCCCGAGTTTCTTGAGCAGTAAACTACGGAGGAACCAGCTGCGAAAACGACTTAACAAAACGATAATTTTGGTACTAATTTTCTGTTTGGCAGCAGGAGTGTTTGGCAGCAGGAGGGAAGAGGGGGCGTGGCTTTTTATGTGAACCATCATCGCCTTAGTCAACAGCGGTGATGGCTAGGTAGCTGTTACCTACCTGTCCACCTACCAGGGCTGTGTAAAACGTGGGGGCAATCACTGCTGTGGACAACAGCGGTGATGGCTTCACTGTTGATGTCCAAAGCGGGGATACGTTCCCCGCTTTTGTCAAAAGCAGGGATACAATCCCCGCCTTGGACAAAAGCGGGGAACGTATCACCGCTTTTGACCACAGCGATGATGCATTCCCCGCTTTTGTCCAAGGCGGTGATGCGTACCCCGCTGCTTCACTGCTTTGGACAAAAGCGGTGATCAACATCACTGTCTTAGACAAAGACAGTGATGTTGAAACTGCTGTATTTTGGGAATTACTTTTATAAGTACTGTATTTAGGGAATTTTTTTTAATAACTCGCGTATTCTGGGATTTTTTCCTCCTTTCTGCCTATCCCGTTGTATGTGCTTATAAAATAAATTGAAAAATTAGAATTCGGCCGATATAACAGCACACCCACCTTCCTGGTTCCTTCCCCTTCTAATCAACACCGCCTTTATCTCACGCGCTTTCCTTCTCTATAAATTAGACTTCAACAGCAATCAAAATATCTTCAGTTACCTGCCATTCTATATATTTTTTCTTCTGCATAGCCAAAGCTTTGAGATCTAAAATAAGAACAGGAAGAAGATGAGTTTACTACAATCAGCAGCAGCAGCCACCCGTCGGAGTTCCTCCCCCACAAGGTAGTTTCCGTTTGGAATTACAGGGATGGATTTTCCTCTTGTGCTGGGGTTTTAGTGAAATGGGTTCTTGTCCTCTTGATCGATTATGCAAATTCTGAACTTTTCTTCTTCTTGTTTACTTTAGGTTACCCGAAAGATGCTTATCCACCACCGGGATACCCTGTTCAGGGATATCCTCCCCAGTCGTACCCACCTCAAGGTTATCCTCCCCAGCAACAATACGCCCAACAGCAATACGCCCAGCAACCACCCAGGCAGCAAAAAGAAGTTGGCTTCCTTGAAGGATGGTCAGTTTCCCCTCCCCTCTTTTCCTTTCTCCCCCCAACTGATCTAATTTCACAAACCCAAATCTTGGGGTTGGATTGGATGATCCCTACCTTGGTCTGCTTTTCAATTTGTGGATGGTGAACTGGTTAATACCCATGATTGTTTGGATTTATAGCTTTGGACACGATCTAATTTCACAAACCCAAATCTTGGGTTTGGATGGGATGATCCCTACCTTGCTCTGCTTTTCAATTCGTGGATGGCGAACTGGTTAACACCCATGATTGTTTGGATATATAGCTTAGGCACGATCTAATTGATTAGACCTACTCACCCATTTGGCCTTTTAAGCTAATTGTCGAGATCAGCATAGATTCCGAATCCAAGATTGTATGTTACAGTACATTTGATGTTCCTGAGTTGCTGTGCTGACGGTGGTTTCTTTTAATTTGCAGCTTAGCAGCGTTGTGCTGTTGTTGCTTGTTGGATGCTGTCTTCTGACTCTGAAGAGGAAGGAGGATGTTCATGTATTCTTGCGTTACAATGAGCATGTGGAGATTGAAGATTGATCATCTTTTATGTTATTATGGGTTGTAACTGTGGAGATTTGAGAGATTTTAACATTCCGTGTATTATATAATAAGGAGACTTGTTTCTTTGTTGGTTTTCCTAGGGCACTTGTTTTTATCTTGCATATAAAACTCACAATTCTGAATTCTACATGAGCAAAACTACCTAAACAATGGCAGAGTTCTAGTGCAGTTTGGTTCACATTTTATTTTTGGGTGCTGCTTCAGTTTTGATTCAGAGGGTTGTGGATGTCTTCCTACTTGGGATGCCATAGGCTCTTGATAGGTTTGGCTTTATTGCACTTTGAAACAGCTGGATTGGTTAAGTCATAAGTGGGGAGGTATTCTTGTCCAATTGGAATCCATTATCGACTTAGTGACCTCCAACGCGTCTTCAGAGCTGACCACTTTTAAGTTTGGGTATGGATTGCAGCAGACGCATGTCTCGCACCTTACACGAAGCCATTATTGTATTAGGGCATGTTGTAGAAAACAAAACTTGTAGCTGAGAACGCTAGGATTTGAGAGAGCAACAAATGAAGAAGACAAAAGCCATTGTGGGGAAGTTGCATTTGGCAATCTGCGTAAATTGCAAGGTTGGGTCATTGAGAAAATTAAAACATTTTATGTTTGGGATTAAATTTTATTTATTCCATCCGTGATCACATTTCATTACCTTTTGTTAGTCTGTATTAATGGTGTTAGTTTATTATTGACATAGCTAATAAAAATGACTAATACTAAACACATCACCTCAACAAATCCACCATGTCATTAACTTCAACCCAACCTATAATCAACCCCATAAATAAATCCTTTCAATTACACATTCTTGTGTTTCTTCTTCTTCGCCTCGCCAACAACCCCTGTTGCCACAAAGTCATTCTCCACCCTTTCCCTTGCATTATCTACCTCCCCTCCACCCCTCTCCCTAGCTCCCCCACTCATCGCTACCTCCCAGCCAGTCCCCGACCACCTCCTCTGTCAACTCAACACCATACACGTCACCATCAACCACACCCCAACTAGCCTTCCTCCTCGACTCCCACCACCTCAAACATCGACGAATCTAAGGCGCAATGCCGCCGTATCTGCTCCTCTAAACTAGCTTCTTCCCAATTGTCTCCGCCTGCCACAATCACTCGGACCTCCTCCACAAGTAGATGACCTACACTGCTCATTCGCCTACCCGCTCGACTCCGATCTCCCAGAATTCTGATGAACTCGTAGCTCACGAGTGTGAGTTGTTCTGCTAGGCGCAGAGAGCCTTAGGGTTTGATTTGGGTAATTGTTGTTTCTCGTATTTGCAACAATGACTTAAATAGTGTTTTACATCAAGAACCCTTCTCCTACTAGGAATACCATAAATACCATAACAAGTAATTAACCGGACAAAGCCTTAAAGATACTTAGGATTCGACCTGGACACCCGAGCGGATCGGCGGGGCGGATCGTCGTGCATGGGCTGGTTGGGCTCATCATTGCTCCCTTCCGGAAGAGCAACCTTGTCCTCAAGGTCGGGAAATCCTCCCGCAAGGCCTCTACTGACTCCCACGTCGCATCTTTAGCTGGCAAATGAGTCCATCGAACCAAACATTCCTCGATGACCCGCCCACCTTGTCGCACCCAACGATGATCCAACACCTCAGCTGGCTGCATCACGACATCACCATAATCAGAAACGAGAGGAACCTCGGCAGGATCGGCTGGTGGCGGACCGCGACACGGTCGAAGCTAGGACACATGGAAAACCGGATGAATCTTCACCCCCTCCAGACTGCAGCATGTACGCGAAAACTCTGACCTTAGCAACAATTGAATTTGGCCCGAAGTAGAGCGCAACTAGTTTCTGTGAAGCTCGCTAAAAAAACGAAGTGTTATCTTTATGGTTGGAGCCGGAGAAGAACCAGGTCGCCCACCGAGAACTGGAGATCTCTACGCTTCAAGTCAGTTCGCCGCTTCATGTACTCTTTGGTAGCTGCTAAGGTGGTCTTGAGCTCTCGTATCACCTCGTCCCGTTCACGGCCTCTACGGAACTAGAACCACCTGCATAGGGAATAATACTAGGCGGATCGCGCCCATACAAAGCTTTGAACGGAGTCATACCAATAGTGCGATGGAATTAAGTATTGTACCATAAGTCTATAACTCATCCCAAGGAAGGAACATGTGACACTGCCGTGGTTGCTGATGTGCAAAACATCGTAAATATTGCTCAATGCATCGGTTAACAACCATCGGACTGCGGGTGGTAAGCCGAACTCATGTTGATCTTAGTACCCGTGCGGTTAAAGAACTCCTTCCAGAACAGACTGACGAACACCGCGTCCCGGTCACTGACGATCGATGATGGGATCCCGTGATGTCGCACCACCCCGCGGATAAATTCCTCCTGTATAGGGGTGAGCTAATGACATGTAGTGTACGTACTTGGTAAGCCTGTCAACCACTACAAATAGGATCGAGCACTCCCCAAAAACCGGTAAGCCCTCAATAAAATCCAACGATATGTCCTCCTAGACTTGACACGGAATGGGGAGCGGTTGTAGGAGACCAGCCGGGGACAATGAGTCCGACTTCACTCGCTGGCAGACATCACAGGAGGCCATGTAGTCACATACGGCCTTCCTCATTTGAGGCCAGTAAAAATGGCTGGACAGCCTAGCTAAAGTTCGTTGTGCACCCGAATGACCCCCAATGGCGTGTCGTGGAATTCATGGAGGACGCTCATCACAAGGCTAGTAAGCGGAAGAAGGACGACCCGTCCCTTATAGAAGACTAGCCCTTGGCGGTATGAATAATGCACCGCCACATTTCAACCACGGTGGTGATTGCCAGCATTTCCTTTTGATAGGTTGACCAAGCTGCTTTTGCCGGGCCCAACACCTTGCTCATGTAGGCAATGGGTCTCCCTTGTTGTGAGAGAACTGCCCCGATCTCTTTTCCTGATGCATCGGTTTCAATGACGAAGGAAGTTTGGAAGATGGGCATTGCCAACATGGGAGTGGTCACCATCGCCTGCTTGAGATCCTCGGAGGCCTTCTCGACCAACTCACTCCACCGAAATGCTCCCTTCTTGAGCAGGTCTGTCAAGGGTTTAGCTATTGCCCCTTACCCACGAACGAACTTCTGGTAGTAACTGGTGAGTCCGAAGAATCCCCCGAGCTCCGTCGGATTCTTCGGTCGTGGCCACTCCGTCATTGTACGAATCTTGTTCGGATCTGCCTTAACCCCTGCATCAGAAATCATATGGCCCAAATACTCCAACTCTCGCAAGCAGAACTCACATTTAGAAAACTTGACATAATAATGGCTTTGATAAAGAGTCTCAAGAGTATGACGGACATGAAGTATATGGTCAGCCCACGTCTTGCTATAGATAAGTATATCATCGAAGAAAACTAACACGTACCGCCGAAGAATGTCTCGAAATAAGTCATTCATAGCCGCCTAGAATGTTGATGGTGCATTGCACACTCCAAATGGCATCACCAAGTATTCATAATGCCCATTGTGGGTTCTAAAACCCGGTCTTTGGCACATCTTCCTCAACCATCCGAATTTGATGGTACCCTGCTCGTAGATCCAGCTTCGTAAAGTACTTTGCCCCGTGCAATTCATCGAGCATGTCGTCGATAGTAGGAATTGGGTAGAGGACCTTGATGGTGGCCACATTTAAAGCGCGATAGTCAGTACAAAAGCACCACGTACCATCTTTCATTTTGACCAGCAGCACCGGCGACGAAAAGGAACTAGAACTCGGTCGGATTACGCCGACCTCCATCATGGTCTGCACCTACTTTTCAATCTCTTCCTTCTGGTGGTATCCATACCTGTAGGGTCGGACGTTTATAGCATCCGCGCCTTCCTTCAACTTGATACGATGATCAAATTCCCGTGAAGGAGGAAACTCTTTTGGTTCTTCAAAAATTTCCTCGAACTCCCGCACAAGCTCTTGCATCTCTGGTGCTAGTGGGGGCCATATCCTCAGCTCGCAATGGTACACAGATCGCCCACATCAAGCCCTCCTCAAGAGAAATCTCTTCATAACTCACATGTCGAAGCTCCGCCTCCACTCCCCATTGCTGGTGCTCCTTATCTCGCCATTTAAATTTCATTTTCAACGCATTCCAGTCACATATAACCGGTCTCAACTCTTCTAACCACTGCACGCCGATCACCATATCCAATCCTCGGATGGGCAAAACAAATAATGAGATTATGAGCTCCGACCCTTGAATTTGCACTGGTACCACAGAACACTGCATCGTGCACTTCAAGCGCTCACCATTGGCAATTCGCACGAAAAACGACAATGTTGGCTCCAACGCTAACTTCATCTCTTCCGCCTTGCTTTCGGAAATAAAATTGTGGGTCGACCCACTATCAACCAACATCACATCCGAAATTCCTTTGACATGTGCATGGAATCACATGGTTTTAGGGCCTGGCACCCCTACTACCGCGTTGAGGGAAATTTACGCCTCCAGCTCTGCCTTGACATCGTTGGCGTCGACTCAGGCTACGTCGTCGTCGGTCCGTTGATTTCCTATGGCGAGTTCGTGGTTAGGGTTGGGTTCCAACCTTTTCAGTAGTTGCTCGATCTGTCACAAAGGGCCTCGGTTCTTTTGCCAGACGCTACCGTCTGTACGCGAATCTCAAAAGCACGGTGGTACAGTTCTTGGAACGTATCCAGGTTCAGAACCATGGCTCTGATACCAATTGATGAACTCGTAGCTCATGAGTGGGAGTTGTTCTGCTAAGCGCAGAGAACCTTAGGGTTTGGTTTGGGTAATTGTTGTTTCTCGTATTTGCAACAATGACTTAAATAGTGTTTTACATCAAGAACCCTTCTCCTACTAGGAATACCATAAATACCATAACAAGTAATTAACCTGACAAAGCCTCAATGATACTTAGGGTTCGGCCTGGACACCTAAGCGGATCGGCGGGTCGGATCGTCGTGCATGGGCTGGTTGGGCTCATCAAATTCATAATCCCCCAGAAATGCCACCCGCTCCCCCGCCGCTGCTTCTCCAAAACCACGTCGAAGCTAGGTCACCTTTATCTCTTGCAACCCATTCCCTTCCTCCCTGCTTGACTCCGACGTGCTTTTGGGGAAGTATAGCTCCAAGTCGTCTGCTTGACTGGCTAAAGAGAATCTAAACCTGGGATTCGATCTAGGAACCGAGATCTCAAAATCCATGACTTACAAGATCGAGCTCGACCTCTCCGATCCCGCGGCTGATCCAGATTTCAATGATTGACAACTCACCGATGCGGTTGGGCATCAATATCGACGGCTATATGGGTACCTTTGCGACAAGGATGAAGTAGTAAAACTTGTCAGTGGTGACGAAGATGATGAGGAAAACAGGAGGAAAGGGGAAGGCCCAAGGGGCGGGTCTTTGTTAGCGGCGGAAGAGAGGAGCGCGAAATTGTGAGATCTATGTTAGTGAGGAAGAAAGGAGGAAAGGGGAATGGCCAGGAAGAGAGGAGGGTTGAATTAGGATGGTAGGTCGGTTAATTACGTGGTTTAGTTAGCGTTTACCCATACAAAAATCAGCTCGTACTAGGTCGATTAATTATCATAGATTAAATAGATTTTTAAGGCCAGCTCAACTATACTACTTAAATGAGATAGCTGGACCTTATTAGGATA